TTAAAAATAATGTAATTTTCGTAATATCGAAATAAAATAATTCATTTTAAAACTATTTTAAAACATATAGTCTACTTCATTGCAGAAAATTTTTGAATTACTATTTTTCTGTGACGAGAAAGACAGTGAATTCAAGGGGTTAACATTCCATTACTATAATCACAATAAATCAATTACTATTAACAATCCGCTATTCTATTCACAGTACACCGATTACTATTAAAAATGGACAGTTTTAATCGCTATAAATCGACTTCCATTCGCCATTTTAAAATTCTAAAAATTAACAACAATTAATATATTAAATTAAAGGTAATGTAATTTTCGTGTAATATCAAAATAAAATAATTAATTTTAAAACTATTTTAAAACATATAGTCTACTTCATTGCAGAAAATTTTGGAATTACTATTTTTCTGTAACGAGAAAGACAGTGAATGCAAGGGGTTAGCATTCCACTACTATAATCACAATAAATCGATTACTATTAACAATCCATTACTACAATCACGGTAAACCGATTATTCTTATTAACACTCGTTTACTATAATCACAGTAAACCGATTACTTTGTGTATTTGACAGCTAAGCATAGAACGCAAATGCAGAAAGGAATGAACGCTGCTTTCGATTATTATCGATTCGATAAAACAACCAAATCGATCAAAAAAGTCACACCTTATCAATGAAGCTGTTAACACGATTCTACTTTCTTCGAATACATTGAGTGTATTCGGAACCCCGTATAATCTTCGAAATCACCAATTTCTCTCTAATTTTAATCACGACTCGTTATCGAACGTCGCAACGCTCCCTAAATCGATGCAAAAGCAATCTGAAAAATTCGTCCGATTTTTATAAAACAACTCTGCCCTTAAGGGGTTAAACATTCGTTAGGGAGAAAAAGTGGCTGCATGTAAAGGCGGCTTAAATCGATGCAAACACCTCGTCCCCGTTATCTCTGCAAAATCGCGCGTGCCGAGGAAAAAAACGAACATCCCTGGCTTCTCGTTGGAACAGGGGTGCGCTAGCGAAAAAAGGGAGAAAAAGGAAGAAAGGAAAAGAGACGACGCCCATTGTGTTCCTTCTTTTCCTTTCTCTCGTATCGACGTCCTGGTCTGTGCACCGCAGCAGCTTTTTTCTTCTGTTCTCGCGCGATAGGAGAGGCTTGCTTACGCCATCGACTAATGTTCGCTAGTCGAAATACCCACGCGACGTCCTCTCCGCCATTTTTCACCCTCGCCGTTAGCCAACCCCGCGATCTCCGAATTTTTCGTTCAACCACTTGCTCGTGATCCTCAGACACGCGATACCGTCCACACTCGAGGACCCACCGAGCATTTTTCTTAACGGGTCACTGGCGTGTAAATGCTGCAACTTCGGCCATTTTTATTAATAGAACAATTTCTTTTTTCCTCTTTTTCTTCGAGTAAGTAACATCTGACAGTGTGTCACGTTATCGTGATTTATGTGAGTATCATTTGAGATGCTTGACCCTTTTAGTGCCGAACGAGAAACGGGTGCCCATGCGAAGATAACCGGACGAATTTACTAATAAAAACCAAGCTAAGAATGATACTTAAAAAATTCAAAATGCAGCATATTACCGAAGAAAGGGAGAATAATGTAATGCCAATCGTGTTTCGATATTCATTGAAAATCGTGTGAGTAACATCGATATAAAACACGATGGAAAACGTAGAAACAAGTTTCTCTTCTGGAAACAATATTTGCATATAGTAGTAGTAGTTTATTATAATCTTTGCCTTTCGAATACAGATGACTTCCGGCTCCATATACATACTTTGTTATCTCGTCTTAATTTTTAGTGCTCTTTCAGTCTATCTTATATTTAATGCCTGTTCCTGTAATAACTCTAATAACTCTGTTTTGTCCTTTATTGCACTTAGAGTTCTTTGGCCTTTCCTCTATTTACATCCTTTATCGTCTTCTCTTTGGTTTTCATTCCTTTTCTCTACTATCCTTTTTAGGTTCGCTAATTCTTTTCCCCCTTCGTCTAGAGTCTCTCTTAGATTTCTTTTAGGAAGTAATGACAATTTCTTTGCAATTTTTGATAACACATTTCGTTATATTAATTTTAATTTTGGCTACTCTCGGTACAATGGTCAATTTTCAAATGTGCCAATCGGAATTGTATGTTCATAAATATTGGTTAGTTAAGCTATTGTTCCTTACAACGAGTAAGCAGCAACAATGGAAGAGGAAGAAAAAGCACCGTGTAAAATAAGATCGCGTAAATTGAAACGGCGAAGAAGCCTGCATAAATCGAGAGATTATTTACCATGTGAAAAGAAACCATAAATTAAATTCCGCGTAAATGAAGGAATGCGCGTACGATAAACAAATAAATAAAAAAGGTAATTACCGAGTGAGAAAATTGAAAGCAACTTTCAATTGGAAAATTCCGTAACCAACGAAATTGTAAATAGTGTACGAATTAAATAAGATAAGAATGAAACAGCGAGAGCAATGAATATTTTCAAAAAACACGATATTATTTTATTTTTTTATAATCCTAAATCGCAAGTATTAAAAGAGTGATTAAACTCTCGGATTTCTGAAACCAAAGTAACCTAAATCCAGTGCAGATAACTCGAACAATCCCATCCCTCTCAATCAAATAATTATCGATAAAAGCAAATTAGGTCTCTACGAAACACTATAATTTTTAAAAACCAAATATTTAATTGCCTATAATAATACCAAATTTTAATTGTGTAATATTGGTAGAGACAAAGCTCTGTACATAATCAATACCGATTTTTTCATCATAAAATAGTTCATCAGTGAAATTTTAATGAAATCCTTGCAACGCGTCGGTTGAGAAACACTGTCGCGAAATAATACGTTCGTTTAAAATCGAATCCAGCTGCCGTCGATTTTTCTACCTTCGATTTCCTTCCTCGAAATTTCCAAATCAACCAGTTCTTAAATAACAACCTTGTCGAACGAACGCCGTTCCCATTTTCATCTCGCGAAAACAAAAACGAAAAAAAGGAGGGAAAGAAACACAAAAAGCACGGCTCTCTAGCAGAGGTGAAAAGATCGACGGGGAATGGTACGCGAAAATGTACATTGTCAGCAGCGAAGAGAGACGTGTGCCGGGATATTTTCGTTTTCACGAGCTGCCCGCGATTCAGAGGCAGTTAAGTCTAGTGCGCCATCTGGAATGCGCGGGCGAAGCGGCGAACGTGGAAAACGAGCGCTCGGTGGCTAGATGGAAAAATTGGTAGTAATGCATGCTAGTACGGCCAATGTTTCATTCTACGAGCGTCTGGTTTCGTTAATTAAGAGCACGTACGAGCGTACAATGACCGAAATATTGATAGATTCGCCATTTACTAGTCGTATATATAGTACACTGATTGCACCGCCATCTACGTTTCTTAGAGCACACTAAAATTCTCATTTCTGTTCCGCTTTTAATTTCGATTTTTGGCAATTACGAATAATAAACGTAGCACATTTTTCATTAACTTTTAATGAAATCTTTGCTAACAAATACGAAGATTGATTTTTAATTTCATTTTTAATTTAAAGTAAGGTATGTATATTAAATGCGTTCGTGTCGTAATGAGAAATCGTTAAGTTCGTTAAAAAGAGTTTATAAGGAAATAAATAACGTTAGTAGCGTGGGACTAGCATTATTTCGGTCACTGTACGCATGCATCACAACAGGGCCATCCGTTATACCGGTTAATGTCTACAATGTCCGCGACAGTGGCGAATGCAAAACAGGACTGTCGAAATGAAATTCGAGTCGTTTTCGTGCAGGAATAAAGTCACCATGGCCAATGGTAACGCAAACTGTGAAATCACGTAATATATTTGGCAGTGGTGGCCGTGCATGAGAATTTGCATTCCAACCCCCTTGTACCCGCCGAATTGCGGGTGACCCTGAATTTGAATATCGGAACAGATCGATTCTTAATAATGGAACTATACATATACACAGTGATAGAAATACAATGCAGCTTGGGTTAAAATCCGCGTTCTCGGTCGATTGTTAATTTATCCTTGATTAGTATCGTTTCTTGCATCGCGACATTGTTTCGATACGTTTTGTTGGCCAAAAATCCATATTATAGATTAATTAAATAAAGAACTAGTAAAATCTATATTTTACGAGATATTTCCCTTTAATCGAACCTTATTGATTCGTTCCTTACTATAAAATATAAGCGGAATTTAATATAAATTATGCAAAATAAACGAGCCACGTGAAATTTGCGAAATTTAAAAAAGGACAATCTTAATTTTTCCAATCTGGAAATATTTTATGCAGACCGATGTAAACTTTAATTAAACCGTATGGTCGACAATGATTTAATATCCTTTTCTAGGTTTTATTGTACACTTTTATACTTTTATTAAAGTGGATTTATCGTAGAACGTTAATTATATAAATTTAATACTGGAAATAAATTTTGAGCTACTATAGAAATTAAAGGAATCATTGATAAAATATACTAACATTTATATACTATAGTAATATCATAAATAATATTAAAATTAATTAAAAAATTAGATCAAATATTTTATACCATGTTCTTTACATATGGGAATCATTTATAAATGAGATTAATTATTTATTATAAAATAATTCTGCATTCTATTATAATTATATTTTGAATTTTTCTGTGCATAAATTTACTAGTCTCCAAAAAATTGGCATCGAATTAAAAAATTCTTAATTATAGAACCATCTTCAATCTGAAATTACATGGAAATTCGTACGAAATTTTAAGTACAACGTAATACAAAGCAATTCGAAGGTATTTTTAACGAGCCATTCTTACCCTGAATAGTTTTATTCGCGAATCTTAAAAGTTCAGAGCAGAGTTGAAATGTCTATACCGGTGGTGCATAGATCGTGAACAAGGGGACTCATTCCTTATTCAAAAGGAAGAGCCGAGGTTTTGAAAGGAAGGGAAGAGAAAGGAGCAGGAAATATGCATATTATTTCTTATTATTTTTCAGGCAGTTGTCAGGGAGCTAAACAGACTGGGAATGCTAGTGGATCTCTCTCATGTCTCAACAAGGACTATGAGGGCGGCCCTGCAGACGACGAGGGCACCGGTGATTTTCTCTCACAGCGCTGCCAGAGCACTCTGCAATTCCAATAGAAACGTGCCGGACGACGTGCTTAGAAATCTGGTGAGTTTTCCTGCGACCGCGTCCACGTGGAAAAGTTAGGGGTGTATTGAAATGCGATAGTACAGTGCGACAGGGTTAAGCCTATTTCGATACTCGATCAGATCAACGTTATGCTCTTCCCTTTCCACCAATTCGACATCGTGCAAATTCCCCAGCTCCGGCTCAATCCCATTCTTTTCAGCTCTACGTTTAGATAGTAAAGTGTGGGATAAAACGACGAATGAAATATGGGAAAAAGCACATAAAGTCTAAATCACGCTACGTTATTCCTCGTGAATAAGAGAAAGCTTTCAGCTACGTTCTCGAGAAAATTAGTTTTAATTTTGAGGGAAATTTTATTCCACGTCGAATCGATATGTTCTTCGATTATTATTTACTTAAATTTACTTTCCGGTATTTTGTAATGAATATTGTAGAAATTTCATTCGTTAGAAAGGAACAGAAGAATATTAAAATAATTGTTAAATATGAAGCTCCTATTATTCGTTGATATAATATTATTTAATTATTGGAATTATATACACGTGTATTTAATATTATTATATAACAATGGAAAAATCGAGATCGATTTATTATTTTGAGACACAGAGTTCATTCGCACAATGGTTTATAGACCCTGGTTACGTATTCTAACGGCAAACCAGAGGTACGAAGACGAGACCATAAACAACAAACATAGACAGGCTACTCGCAGTATCTAGCAGACAGCAGCGCCGCTAATCGGAGAAACTGATAAGCTCTCGTGCGTGCCACGATTCCTTCTAACATCGACAACGTTAAATTTTCTGTTACAATACCAATCAACTACTGTTTTACATTTTCCATAGGATATAAGGGTACCCCCATACAACAGGGACAAACTGTATCTCTAAAACAGTTAGAGATAAGAAAAGATACGAGAAGATATTCAGTTCTTATATATGAAAAATGGCGGCTCAGCTAATTCTATCAATTGCTATAAATGCGTCGTAAGACTCGCAAAACCTATTATCATTTTGCAAACATTACCACAACACAAAATGGCTTCTACGAATTATTAGAGTTATCGGGAAGCATCTTACATGAATTATTAAAGAATTACCACGATTCCTACATATCGCCAAATTGCTTGCGTGAACTATTAAAAAAGTACCGTAGAATACCTTACATAATTTATGAAAAAAAATCATATCGGGATATTGCACATGAATTATTAAAAAACAATTGCAAAATGCGCTACATGTATTATACATGTACATAACCATCCGCAACTTTTTCTCAAACATTCACGGTCGTGGATTAATATCCCCTACATGACTCACCATCACGATGCATAAAACTGCATATCCACCGAGTTCCAAGACATCTACAAACACAATGAACCAGTATCTCTCCATCACTCGCCGAGTACAATAAGCTCGCTGACCATTTCCGCTGATGCATCTGCAAGAACATCAAACACAAAGACAGAGAGAGAGAAGAGGCAGAAACATTGTTCCTTAATTAGCAAAGGAACTAAGTCACGATACATAAAAGAACCAGGAAGGAGAGACTGTTGCAAAGGGCTGCATAGTTGACCACGTAATCTAACCTATAACAAGAGGGGGTAAACTCGGAGAGATCGCTGTAAGATCGAGGGATGGTGAGAATTAAAAGAAAAAAGGGGAGAAAATCGACGTATGTACACGATTCACGAGTTCATCCGGTGGCGCCGCGACGCGGTATGAGAGTGCATCCGTCAAGAGTGCACTCGACGCTCGCCTGAGTTTATGCAACCCGACGTAGTTGCGGCGTGTCGCATACGAACGAGGCAAGCTTGACCAGCTGCGCGGAACGTGCACATAGAGCAGACGAAAAACCGTCTCTACCCCCACCACTCGCCGCAAGATCGGTTCGCATGATTAACGGCGCGCTCATCGTACGCTTGTGGACACTAGCGACGTCTGCCGGACAGAGAGCGCAACTACGGTCGCAGTACGAGCGCCCGAGTTACGGTGGAAGAGCCAAGTAGATATTTTACTAAGAACAACGAATTTGCCCCGAACAAAGTCGTAGAATCGTGGAAAATATGGTCGTCGATGTTTTCTCTGCTCTTGATTACTTGGAATACGTTTCGCTTCGTATATACCCTGTTGTATAATTCTGATAAATTCTCTCGACCATTTTCGCTCGCTGTTGTGTATACAAACTATGTTACGTAAAGGTACCTTATTTTTATCTTTTTTTTTCTGGGATATAAGACGAGTGTAGATCGTGGATACGTTTTTGTTGGTGAAATAGCTTTGTATTTTTAACGTTTGGCCGATCGTCTTTGGAGGTTGGAATTTGGACGTTTTAAGGTTAGGAAATACTTGGACCGATGAGTTAAGCTGGCTAACTATTAAGAACGGCAGTTTGGTTAGGTCTTTGTGAGCGAAAAACCGGAGGAAGTAATTTACTTTGAGCGTAAATAAAGTAGCAGATAAAATTGTTAGTGAGCATTTATGATGTAATCCATGCTTAACCCACTGGCCACTGGCGTAGCTTTTTGGGTCGCTCGATAAATTTTAACGTTTTAGTTGCTGTTTTCCGACTGCTACATTGAAAGTTAGTAAAATGGCATCAGCTTAATACCTTTTTCAAACAACGTACCGAAAGTTCGCCGCATTTAATGGGAAATAATAAATTTGGAAAAAAGTATTAGGGCCACGGGAACTTGAACAATGGCATGAATTTTAAATTAATGCTAGTGAATTTATGATTCATCGCGTAGATATAGAGGTCAATGGTACATAATGGTAATTACAATAAGAATAATATCCGGTGTTTCAGAATTAGTTTCAGAATTAGAGGTCGCTTAAGTAAGGTTAGAGTTGACAAATGGAATATCTTGCTTCATTATGTTATTTATGTATCAAAGCTCAAGGTATCCACTCTGTACAGTAATAAATTCCAGTAATTATGAAAACAAATTAATGTAAAACTAGTTATTTTGATTAATTTGAAAATCGCAATACTAAATAAAATCTGAATCTTCGACTAATATAGTTAAATCGTTCGATCTCGATTACGCCGTCTGATTTTGAGGTTATAATTTTCTGTACAAATAACTTTTCAAGATCGGAACGAATTTTTACTCTGATTTTTCCGCAGGTAATTTCAGTTTTAAAATGTAAAGTGCAAAATGCAAGTTAAAATTAGGTGATCTAAACCAAACCTAACCCAAACTGTTGTGCTCACCGGTGACCCAACAAAACCAATTGGGGATTAAAGATGCAAATTCTGAGGGCTCGTCCACGAACAAACCGCCATCACTGACCGTTTTCACGATATTCCACTAAAGTTCCATGCATAAAATTGCATTCTGTTTTGTATAAAAGTTACGCTATTTTGTCCTCTCGCTCTTAAACAACGATTATTATTAATCACAATTATTCAAAAATTCATAAATATTCACCAGTTACTCGAGTTACATCGAGTCAGTTCGTACCCACCAATTGTCCACTTTAAACGATTCCCATTGCTTCATGCCACAAACTATTAATAACTACCATTCCTACTACCAAACCGTACTGTGACACATTCCACGCGTGTTTTATTCCATAAACTATTCGGACACGATACATTGGAAAGCACGAAATTCAAAAGCCAAACTGTTAAGAACCTTAAGCACTCGACGCTTTTTAGAGTGTCGAAAAGCCAATGCTTGGTTGGCACAAAGGGAAACTCAAACACACCCTGTTACCTCCCATTCGAGGTGATCGATTCAGCCATATCTCTGGAGCATGGCACTCAAAAGGACACGCGAATATTCCATGTCATCCTTTTTGATCAACCGCTCGCAAACGTTGGCCAACGAAGAGATTATTTGGTTTTAGGTCAGCAAACATGCGACTAGAATCAGGTCGGGTGTTTCGCAAAGTTCAGGGTTGGCCCGGGCCAACCTCGTTGTAGAATTTTCATGAAAACACGTTACGTGTCTCTCTCTCTCTTTCCATCCACCTATCAATCCATCTATCCGTCCGGCTCGTTCGTTCGTCTCTTTTCTTGACTGAAATCCGAAGCCGGTCGAGCGGCTGGAACGTCAGCTGAACGGAGGAAAGGGGGCTGGTTTCTGCCCGTTGAATGTGTCGGGTCCGTGCAAACGAATCGAGAAAAAAGCACACGGGTGAAAAACGAGGAAAATTCGAAGCGAGTTCGAGGCGGCCAAGAGGATACATTCAGAGCGGCAAAAGTACGTGTTCAACGCGGCGCGGAATTCGCGCTTGGAATAATGGCGGAAAAAAGTCACACGGGGATACTCGTATAAAATAATATACGAGCCGGGTCAATGAGGCTGGCAAAAAAATTGTTCCACAGAGGATCCCGTAGGATTAAATTGGTATTACAATACGCGAGACCGCGTGATTTATCTGTCGTAGTCAACCAGTCAGAAGCAATGTACAATCTGTTTCCATTTTCCCTCTTCCCTTCATTTTCTTTTCCTTTTTCGATGTTTCGCTATGGCCGCTGCAGGGGAACAATTGGGAGATGCTAAAGGATATTAACCCTTTGCGGTCGTATGTCTACTCTCAGCCACCACGACAAAGAACCATATCGATCTTATATTGTATTCATCGTGTTAAATAGCGAAGAAAAATCTTTTTATGAGGATTAGAAGTATGCACGATTAATAGCTACATCTTATATAAGGTGTCAGCAAAAAGAAGAAACAAGACGTCTATGTGATATTTTATGTTTGTCCAGAATTTGCTGGAACAACTTACAGACGATTTTCGTAATGGAGCATCTCCAAAATTACTAAGATCATCGTCCTCGGATAAAGAGGAAAGGCTTAATGGCAAATTGCATATATTGCGGCACTGTCAAAACGTACAGTGTAAAGATTGTTTCGTATGTTCGAATAGAAAAATCAATGGCGGAAGACGCCAAAGTAATTATTTTTGCGACACATTAAAATATTATTATGTAAACACATACCTCAAGTTCACAAAAGAATTCATAAATCTTGTTTATCCTTCATAATCTTGCATATTATGTAT